AGGGAGATGGGGGGAGGGGGGGGAGGTGGATAGATGGATGGGTAAGTAAAGATGAGGATGGGAATGGGAATAAGGATGAGGAAAAGAAGGTTGTTGCGCAAATACGAGATTGATTTTGGAGTTGGACTTGGACTTGGACTTGACTTGGAGTTGGACTTGGACTTGGAGTTGGACTGGACTTGGCCTAGGTGTCTATTTGAAATTAATACAGAACGAGTATTCAATATGTTTTCTTGGAATTCCATACACAGCTCAAATTTAAAAATAGATTTACTGTCTTGATTGCATTGAATTGCACTCTAGATGCAAGTTATAAAAGGTAAGAATCGTAAGTAAAATATCTGGCTTCTTTGCTTTCCATCGAAATTCAAAAGTCCGTCAGGTCGGATCGGGTCGGGTCGGTCCGAGCCGGAACATGAAGCAATTCGAAATATTAAGCAACCCGAGACCTTTTTTAAAAATACTATTCAATAATAATTATTAATGAAAAGGCAATAAAAGAAATACTGATATTTTCGTAAAAGATCGCTTTATAAATGTGAATCGTAGATGAAATGTTTTGTTGTTTTGATTTTGGTTGAATTTGAAAGTTTATTAGATCGGGTCGGTCCGAGCCGGGATATTTAACAGCTCGGTAAAAAGATTTTTTTTAAAATTATTATTTAATAATAAGTACTTATGAAAGCGCGATGATAAAAATATTGATATTTTCGTGAAAGATTGCTTGATAAATGTGAATCGTAAATGAAATGTTTTATAAATTTGATTTTGGTTGAATTTAAAAGTTTATCGAGTCGGTCCGAGCCGAGATATCTAGCAGCTCGGTAAAAAGACTTTTTTTTTAAATTTATTATTATTAAGTAATAATTGTTAATAGAAGCGCGATGAAAGAAATATTGATATTTTCGTGAACGATCGCTTTAGAAATGTGAATCGTAAATAAAATATTATGCTTGTTCGGTCCAAGCTAAAACATTGCGACATCGTGAAAGTATCGCGAAAAACTCTCAAAAATAATGAATGCACGATTATAATAAGTAATAGAATCAAGAGTGCAGAAAGTTTAATAAATTAAGTATAAGAATACTAAGAGCTATAATACAAATGTAGCTAAGGGATCAGCCAAGAGGCTAGTCCATATAAAGGAATACAGGCGGCAGTCTAATGTTCTAATAATGAGAGCTGAACATTGAGGCATGCATGTAAACAAACGCCACGACCGCAATCTTCGCTGTATTATTTAAAATTGCTTTCTTAAGTTATTTGTTAAAGCGGCAGAACTTAAAGTGTTTCTAGCGACTTTGCTTTTTATGTTGCATTTTTAAACGGAATAAATACTTTAAATATATACGTTAATATCGCGATGCGATTTGTGATTGATTTTTTATCGATTTTACGAGTGTGAAAATCTATGTGTCGAGTTACTAGATATCCCGGTTTAATAATGCCGATTTGGCTGCGCTGATTTTACGGCAGAAATAAAAAGATTAAAATAGATTTCACAACAATAGATTAAATCTTTTTTATAAAAAGCTCGAGCGACGTAAAATTATACCGACATCTTTTTCCTTTAATAGTTTGCACACTTTTATAGCCTAGTAGCTTAAGGCCATAATAAGACTCTTACTCAATAGTTCTCGCTTCGAAAACCTTAAACCTTATTCAGACCTCTGATTTATCTCTCCAGCTTTCTTAACTATTCCATCGTTCCCTTCGTTTTCCGCATACCTCACAACTGAACCTTCTAAATTAGTAACTCACTCGCTAATTATCAATTCGCCGATAACAGATGTTCATTACTAGCGTGCAGCGCACGTAGTCTCTTGCAATTGCAATTCTTCTGATAAAAGTAATATCTGATTCCTGTCTGCTCCCCAAGGTGCGAAGGAATGGATTCCTTTGACACGATTAAAAGGGGTCTTCGAAAGTGTATGTGTTTATACTCTCAAAAGAAGAAGCGGGCTATAACCTTTAATGCTTTAAAAGCGGTCGGGGGGATAGAAAATGAAGAAAAGCTTTTTGTCAAATAAGTAGGGCTATATCACAATAGAAATAAATCCCCGAGAGCTAAGAGTCCTTGGCAGCGATCGATTGCTTAGATGTCATTTTCCTTACCTACTATCCCAGCTAGCTTCTTTTTTACGTAGCAAGATACACTCAGCTCCTTCAGATGTCATCACACCAATCAAAGGTTAAGGGCGCCTGTCAGCCAAAACTCACATGTCTCACAAGTTCGCCTTTTCTTCTTTCGAGTTTGAAGATAAACTAGCTGTTATAATAGAGCTAGCGTTCTTAACAAACCCCTAACTTTATCACCGCATTTGATAGTATTTACAAGGAAGTTCAAGGCTCGGACCGTATGCTAGCACGAGCGAAACAAGCTTATCTCGTAATCGAATTAAAACCGGGCTACCGTATCCTTTGGTTTAAATGAGACCTTGGCAAGCCGTGCGTAGTGGAGACGGGCACCGGCGACAAGTGACCGATTGGCAGGAATTGATGACTCAGAAATGCTAAGTATCAAAATCTATAGCATTTGAGCCGCTAAAATGAATAGAATTGCATTGCTATTACATCTTGATATGCTAACATGTCTTTGCCTACCTTTGAAATTCCACCGAAACCGCTAGAACTACCAGATCTACTCTTAGCAAATACCTCTTTTAGCTCTTAAGCTAGTTCTAGTTTTATAAGAAGCGTTAAAAGCGTTTTAAAAAGAAAATAGAGCAACGATAAGCTTGTTCTTAAAGTAGCACGAATAAGAAAGAAATCTATGACAATAGATAAGCTACAAACTTATATCGGACCAAATATATACGTATATTCAAACGGGATCGAGCTTAAAGAAGATGAAAACGCTGGTCCAGCTTTAAAAATAGAGCTAATAATAAAGAAGCTTAATCCGACTCGAGAAGAAAAGCTAGTAGTAATTAAGTTCTTTTTAAAATACAAGTATATATTTCTATTTTAAAAAAAAAGATAATAATAATTAATTTTTTAAAATATAAATATAGATATTATAATTTTAATAAAGAATAAATAGAATAGAAAAAACCGACGAAAGAGCAACTTAAAATACAATTCCTTTAATACGGAGAATCTACTATGATGAAATAGTGCACTTTAAACGGCGCATAAAAGATTTTAGCTGCTCCGAAAAGCTCTCGAAGAGTTTCTGAATATTAGACGCCGTATTAGCTAGAAATAAAAGAAAAACTTTTTAACGAATTCCTTGAAAAAAGATCGACGAATATTGTTATAAAACAATAGTAGTTTAAAGAGCAAGCTACTAGACTTTTCACTGAAATATACCTTGATTATGCATCAGTATTTCTTTTTTTAAGTGGCTAGTTTCAAGGTTTTTTAAAAAGAAATAACCTTACTTTACGTTGTATTACAAAAATCGTACGTATATTTATTATTTTTTAATATAATTAATTATTAATATTAATAAAAATAAGCTTAAAAATTATTTGTCGATACGGAAAGATACGTATTAAATTTTCTTCGCTGTATTCGTAAGGTTTCGCAACCATCGATTTCTAACGAATACGAGCCTCGATTATTAAATAAATTCAAACCTTCTATGTGTTTAAATTTCGACGAAACTCCGATTCCATTTGAATATTTAGATAGTCGCACTTATAATATAAAAGGTGCATATACCGTAAGAAGTAAATCAGACCGAAGTGGATGGAATAAACGCTAAGCTACTTTTATTTTATATATATTCGCAGACGGTATCGGACGATTAAAACCGAAATTAATTTTCTACGGAAAAGAATCCGAATTAAAAGGAGAGATTGAAAAATCAAAAGGAATATAATATAATCTTAGAGTTACTATCGAATTCAACAAATCAGTATATAATAACGAAAAGTTATTATTAAAATGGATCGAAGAAGAGCTAGTCTTTTAAACAGCAGTTACTAAAAATAATCTTTTATTAGTTGCTTTAGATTGTGCTGCTTTTTATAAAACGACAGAAATCAAAAAGCTTTTTCGAAAAAATAATATCGAAATAGCGATGATACCTCCGGGGATGACAGGAATTTGCTAGCCTCTCGATACTTATATCAATAAAACTTTTAAAAATCACCTTCGAGAGCTTACCGATAAATATATTTAGCAATAAGAAGCAAATAAACCAACCGATATTAAATGGACTGTTAGTGATAAAAGAATTATGCTTATTCACGTGGTCGCGCAAGCTTAAGATCGTATTTGCAATACAAACGACTTCGTTATTAAATCTTTTCGCGATACCGGTATATATTTAGCCGCCGACGGCAGCGAAGATCACTTTTTAAATATTAAAAATCTATTTGATTTAATAATAAGAGATTAGAATATTCGAGATAAAGCGATAAAAGGATACGAATATCGCGTAATCGACGATACTTAAGATAACGATTAGAATATAGATTTCGAATAGGTAGAATGCGACGAATACGAGCAATTGCGGAGAAAAGATCTAATAGATCTAATAAAAGAACGCAATATTCGAGGCTTTTCTATAAAGAAAAACTCCGAATTAATCGATATGCTAAGATCGTTTAATAAAGCTCGTAAAGAGAGCGAAAACGATACTAAAGTTGAGGAAAAAAAGGTAGCACAAAAGCAAAATTTGCTTATAAAAAAGCACGAAGCAATTGCAAAAGAAATCGTATACGTAAACGAAGATGGAACCGAATATGGAAATTGGTCGAAAGTAATGGAAAGTATAGATTTAACTGCAATTGATATTTAATTATATCTATTAAAATAAATTTATATTAAAATAAATTTAAAAAAAGATCGAAAATATTAAAATTCGCTTGATTTTGACCTTTACCAACTTTTCGACGTTGAATACTATCAGCTGAGTAATCCATTTTTCTCGCTTCTCTACTTGGCTGACTCCACCCCGCACGGCTTGCCAAGGTCTCATTTAAACCAGAGGATACGGTAGATCGATATTAATAGATCGACACCGATACCTCCATCAACTAATCTCCATCCTCGTTCAAGCTGTACACTAGCAAAATAAACTTCTCGCGTATACAACTTATATAAACCCTCTAGCCAGCAGTCCGTAGTCCCGAACAAGACCTTAACCTAACCATCTTTCTCAAACCTCTATTCGAATCTTTCGTAAATCAATCGGTCGGTAACGGTATACCCAGCAACTAATCTCCATCTCCATCCCCGTTCAAGCCATACACCAGCAAAGTAAACCTCTCGCATATACAATTTATATAAACCCTCCAGCCAGCAGCCCATAATCCCAAACAAGACCCGACCACTCGTATCGTCTCATTTAATTATATATATTACAATGCATATCAAAACGTCGAGAATCTATTAAATAAGCCGTAACAACCAACCTTCGCTTTAGATAAGTAGATGACGTCGATTCGTTTGCAAAGTCTTGAATTGGTGTAAGAGGTCGAGGTGAAAGGTCGACGGACGAAGTGAAGGAATGCCGATGAAAGGTGAAAAGGAAGGTGATGGAGCTGTCGATTTTATAGTCTCGAGCAGGCTGCGGACAAGCTGCCAAGCGTTGATCATCTTTGACTGCGAATCAAAAAAAAAGAAAACTTGCAATCGGTCTCCTTGTAGATGGTCGCCAAAGAAAGAGGATAAGATAAATAGATGTAGCAAAAGTAGATTAATATTTTTTCTAGACAGCTCGAGCAGCGTGAAGCTACACCTTCCTCCTTGATAATCGAGGCCACAACAAGCGGCGCCCGCGACAGCGAAGAAAACCGAAAAAGATTGGAATCTGACATAACGTGCCCAGACTCTCTTAAATCGCCATCTTACCAGCGAAGTGTATAAAAACCTTTTACGGCGTTAATAAAAGGCAAAAAAAAAAAAAAAAAAAATTAACACCTAACCCGCAAAACAATCGAACGTTTGACTGCCCGACCATAGTCTATTTTCCCGCGGCCAGATGCGTAAACGCAAATGCAGACGGCAAGTGTAGACTATGGAGGCGTAACGGTTCGAAACCCGCGATTTTCAGACAAGCGATGGACGCATGCAGCCCCTGCTCCCCGAAGGGCCCTCAATACCGTGGAGTATTACCTCCCACGGGTCAGTCTCCGGTGCCGTTAACCAGTGGCGGGGTTCCAAACCCGTTAGTCCGCTGGGAAGCATCGTACCTTGGTCAGAGAGGATCTAGAGTAGCGATCACCCTCGAAAGGCGACGGAAAAGTTGGGAAGAGGATTGAAGTAGATGAAAGGGAAATGGGGGCAGGAGCGAGGCGGCGGGGACGGCGACCCCGCATGTCCGGCGGCGGGGGCAGCGGCCGCGCCCGCAGAGCCCCACCCGATTCTGCCGTGCGGTATACAATACTCCGTATGTTTTGTATGCGTCCCAGAACCATAACCACAATTATAGAATCACCGCAATCGGCACCAACTGCAAGTATCACCTTCCTATCGCCTTTTCCCCTTTCATCTGTTACGGATACTCTTTCATTAGTTAAAAGTGATTAAACGCGCTGACCTTGAGCTCCCTCTTTCTCCTTCACAAGCTGACCTCCAGGCTCTCTCCCTCAAACCTCACGGTCCGGCATCATCGATCTCCCTCCTTTAAACCTCACGGTCCGATACCTTCGATCTCCCTCCCTCAAACCTCGCGGTCCGATATTACCGATCTCCGTCCTTCAAACCTCGCGGTCCGATATCACTACTCTCCCTCCTTCAAACCTCACGGTCCGGCGTCGTAATATCACCGATCCCACCGCATCACACTACAAGCTGGAGGATCACAAGGGGTTGGAGGCGGAGAATCACAGTAGATCTAAAGAAAAAGATCTCTCTGATACTCTTGGCTCTCGATAGATTGGTCTCTCGATGGATTGATTTCTCGATAGATTGATCTCTCGATGGATTGATCTCTCGATGGATTGATCTCTCGATGGATTAATTTCACGATGCATTGATCTTTCGATTGAAAAGGGGGGAGGGGAGGGGAGAAGGAGGAGGAGGATCCCTTTAATACTCTTGACTCTCGATAGATTGATCTCTCGATGAATTGATCTCTCGATGGGTTGATCTCTCGATTGAGAAAGGGAGAAGGAGAGGGTGAAGGAGGAGGAGGATCCCTTTGATACTCTTGACTCTCGATGGATTGATCTTTCGAGGCATTGATCTCTCGATTGAGAAAGGGGGAGGGAGAGGAAGAGGAAGAAGGAGGAGGAGGATCCCTTTTATATTCTTGGCTCTCGAAGCATTGATCTCTCGATGATTGTCGATAGGTTGATCTCTCGATTGTCTCGATTGAGAGAAGGAGAAGGAGAAGGAGAGGGAGAGGGAGAGGGAGAGGGAGGAGGAGGAGGAGGAGGAGGAGGAGGAGGAGGGGGAGGAGGTAGGGCGGGTAAGGCCTAGGTAAGGAGGGCAGAATAGTTAGCGTAAGACGTAATAGTCAGATCACGTATATAGTCAACAAATTCATCAGATAATAATGTAAAGCTAGTTAAGGTGATTCTAAAACCGTGTTCCTTCTTCAAACGGAGTTATGATTATAGTTCTGTAATATTCAAAGTAACTTATCGCTACAAATACATTCGGAGATAGATATCTCCGAACACAACAAGTATCTCCGAACAAGATGGATATCTCCGAATAATCCGGATTCCAGCCTTAACATTATCATTAATAATTCTACGAGTGTGCAATCAATCAATTCAACAAAGATATTCAAAGATCCCCTTCTTAATTCTGCCCCGTTGCATCCATCTAAATATCCTTCGAGACGTCATGCTATAACATAATAATTGATACAAAAAGGCATGTATTTTTAATCTGAGCGACTTTTGATGTTCCTAGCATCGAAGCTTGGACCAAGGCCCTTTCTCATCCACACTTACACCGTATCCCTTATGATAAAGTAATTAATATAGAAAGTAATCGTCGGCTCGCTGAAGTGGGCTTGCTTATATCTTTTTATTGCGGCACTTACGATATTTGCACGTGTTTGGCCTCGGGTCCGCCGCCGACGCTTTACGGGTTACGCGGTTCTTCTACGGTTTTGTTTTGCAGATGCTTTTGTAGCGTCGGCACGTATTTGGCCTCGGGTTCTTCGTAAGGGCTTTGCGGGTTCTGCGAGACCCGCAACGGCTCGGGCTTCTTCTGCCTCTGCGGCGTCGGCACGTATTTAAACTCGGCTTCTTCGTAAGCGCTTTGCAAAGCGAAAATTATCCGCAAGATCAGCAGCTTCCGCAATCGGTCTCTAAATGCCTCAAGAATAATTAATAAGACTTGTAAAAACTGTGTTACGCTTATAATATGCTTGCTACACCGCTTAACACGATCCGTTCGGAAGTCTTGTACGAGGCGGAAGCGATTGCACGCCGGATATTACAAGTATCAAGTCGAAAGTAATCGAGAAACGGCAAACAGATCGCACACAAATGGAATTACAAAAGGCCGCCAATCGCGCCCGCAGAAGATTGTACGGTATTAAGCAATACTTGCACCCGTACGAAGAAAACCTTATGGTTTTCCTAGGTACCTACCTATTTATTAGTCAGCGCTGAGTCAACTTTTTGGTGTTCCTCGATGGCCTAAGCTCGAATGGATGCACCCAATCAACATTCAGCTCAGCATTACGTTCAAAAACATCAAGAAAAGATTGTGCGGATATATATGCGCTGTACTTGCACTTGCTATTGCTACTTGCAGCCTTACTTGTTTTCATTGCTCTGCGCGCATTTAAGACGTAAGAGTTCTTAAGCAGGACGAATTGGAATTTTTAATATTGATTTCTGACGAAATTTTAGAAAAGATGCATTCGCTGTGCCCTCGATGCCGCGCATAAGATGCATTGCTGAGGGCTGGCTGGCGCTGTGGGCCGAGTGGGGCCTTCGAGTGAGGCTCGGGATTGAGGCTCTCGGGTAAAGCCCTTAAGAGAAGCGCCTGGATCGTTTGAATGAGGCCTTCGAGTGA